TCTAAACAAACAAGTAGTACAAAAGCAGGTTGAAAAAAGTCCTACATACTTTTTATGATATCACCCCCTACCCATGCTTCAGGCTAAATAATTACAGATACATCCCTAGAGTAACACAAACACAAAATCTTGTCATCCATCTATCAACTACTTATCCCATTCAGGGTTAGTAAAAGCTGGCAGCCTATCCCAGAATGCACAGGGCACAAGGCAGAGGACACCCTGGGCAGCATACCACTCCATCACAGGGCACAAATACACACACTCAAAGTCATATTATAACTTTTACCAATTTACCAATCAGGTCCTACCGGGAGCTGGAAGGAAGCAAAATTGTGCACTGTCTGGCAGGGAGCTTGGAGGGAGCGAAAACATGGACCGACTGTGGGTCCCCCAGGACCGGATTGGGAAACACTGCACTAAACCCAACCCTCAAGCTTTGGCCAGCTGCATCCAGCACGGACCATCAGCAGGTGCGGCGTGAAGATGAGACCATCATCAGCTGCCTGCTCCCTGAGTGAATCTGGGCAGGCATGACAAGCGTTACCAGCTACCCTCAGGACAGCTCACAGGAGACCGTCCCTGACAGGTCCCAATCCGGGGGAAGGGGGCACCAACAGCAGCCCCTCACAAGTCTCCAAAACTTCCAGCTCATTCAGCAAAACGTCTACAACATTCAGTGTCCTTGACTTTAATGAGGGATAACACCCGCCACCTAAGGCACAGACAGTCTGTAAAGTGTGGAACTCGAACCCCAATCGCAGACCCCCCGGAAACTGTCCATCGGCTGATTCTTCTCACTGAGCTTCCTTTAGATACAAACAGACCGAGACCCTTGCAGGCTGTTCTGAACATTGTCTGTTCTTGACCATCGCCATGGTCACCACACAAGGAAAGGTCAGCATGCCTCTCAATGACAGCGTCATGCTAAACCTCTGTCTAAACACGACAGACACCAGGGGGAGGGCTGGCAGCAAAACAGACTGCAACCCTTCCTGGAGGAATCTGCCCGAGCCATGCTTCGATCTGCGCGTCCGTCTCAGAACGAGAGTCTGAAATTCTCCTGACGGCCATAAGTCCTCCGAGGTAGTTGAGGATTGCAGATGTAGCTGGTGAAGACGAACATCCAACTGCAAAGGTCAGAAAGAGCAACAGACAAGAGACTAAAGGAACTGAAGTGTTCAATACAGATCCCCACAGCTCTTCATATATATTACATAACCCATAAAAATATGAGATATATATATATATATATAAACCTATAAAAATTCTCAACAGTCATACTCGATCCCCTCAAAATACTCTACAATGCTATACAAACTACAAAAATACTCTACAAAGCTACCTAAAACCCTAAAATACTCCACAACGCTACAAATGTTAGCATTCAGCCTTAATCTGGGCTGGATTTGGTCCTTACAGTCCACATACTCAAACCACACGAAAGCTCCTTTCTGTCCCAGAGGCCAAAACAGACCCACAGGATAAGAGACACGACTATTTATAGGTCCAGACACAACAGCGTGTGACACAATATGACCGTGGCACGTTGAGAACCCATGGCAGTCAAACGTGCAGACGAAGGAGTCAAGCGGACGTGGGGGGGGGAGGGGGCAGCGGGGCGAACAGCGCCCCCCCTCGACGTGACACCGAGCGGGAGGCCGTCCCCAGCTGCGCGCCGTGGTCGAGAGTCCCGTGTCGCTGACGTCACGGGCCTCAGTCTCCCTGCCAGCTCACCAGTTAAATTTAGCAACTGGGCCCTTCTCCCGGAGAACAGTAACAACGTGATACCGGGAGCGCTTTCTGCACGACTCGTTGCATCAGCGCTAAACAAAGTTGGGGGGGTTGATCTGCTACTGAGCCTCCGCGTATTCCGGCTGAGGAATACTTCCTCTCGTAACACTGGCCCCCAAAAATAAGCCGTGAGCAAACGACGGGGAACAGGACCTACAAACCAGCAAGAGCCAGCTATGGGATTCCAGCTGCAAATTCCTGACAGCTCCACGAACGCACAAAAACAACGAGTTGCACATGTCTGATGGTGATTCACACAAGTTATCACCCAGGATTCGATGCTTGATATGAGACAGATCACCACCACTGATTTACTGAACACCTTAATGAATGAAACTTTATTCTCATCATACATTCGGTGCAATTACACAGTTCTGCTACTCTCCGGTCATTAAAAACTACCAACAAAGACAAAAATCAAGGCACCACATAAATAACATAAAAACACAGACTAAAGGCAGCAGGAAAATGAATAGCATGTACATTTGGCGCCTTAACAGTAACATAAGAAATATCTAATCGCCATTTATCTAGTTACTTTAAATTTTTGGTTGCACCCGCTGAATTATGATACCATTTCTGCCGGCTAAGGTCTCCCCTTTTCTATGCATTTTGCTTTTCCTGTAGTGACCACTTGTGGCTAGCTTGGGACGCGAGCCTGCTTTAAGGTTTCGCCATTTCCCTTTTAACAGGAAGCTCGCCTTCCTGGTTCTGGGCGGCTTTGATGTACTAACAGAGGCATCAAACACTTTCCTATGGCGATTAATGTTTTTTTTCTTCTTAAACACATACTTTCATCTTTTTAGAAAAAAAGAACAGACGAATTACAGCATTGCTTCCTGTTCTCCCATTGTGAAACTGAACAACGTACTTCAACTTAATTTTTTTTTCTCCAAATTAATTGCCACTTGCGTTTCCAAATACGGTGGAGAGACCGAGGGAAACTGTGTTTAACATCCAGCACGTAATAAAGCGACTCAATATACATTAGGCCTATATTAAGTATCGGACAGGTGCCAGTGTCTTGCTGATGATGTCAAACTGTAAAACACGGTATGAAATGCCTGCCATTAAATGCACGTCCCTGCATGCAGCAGTGCACCGGCCGTGTCACACAGAGAGGCTTAAATGCTTCACGATGTAAAAGGTTTAGACCCCCCGCAGATAAAGGGGTGCTAGGCTTGGGGGACGGAGTGCCTTCGTGCCAGACCTCGGTACAACAGCCCGGAGGGAGGGTCACCGGGGGACGCTGGCTCCCGGATCGCGGGCTGGGAGATGCCGCAAATCCGCAATGTGACAAATCAGCCCGAGGGGCCGTTTCTACACCTTCCCGCCTCCTTTTCCGCATTTTATTTACCTATAAATAAAAGCTACTTTGTTTAAATGACAGTCGCTGTCTATTGTAATAGAGTCGCAGTTAAGAAAAAAAAACAGTGCTGTTCTCTCTTATTACTCCGACAGGCAGATTACCTAAAAATAATTAAATGCTAATACTTTCTTTCTTTAATACTAAATACGACATATGAAACATTCCGCCTCGTATATGTGATGTATGAAATATAAGCATTTCATGCAATATACAGAAAGATAAACTTAATTGCGATTATTACTGATGGTTCTATAGTAAAATCGGGGGGCTTTATTTCCTCCAAGGGTCTCTGGCTAGTCGCTGCTCCGGCAGCCGACCTGAGAGGGTTACTGTATCTTTAAGTGGTAATCCCTCTAAGTGTAAGTGTTTGTTGTCTAGCAGTTAATGGGCGGCTCGGTGGAGTGTCCACACTGGCCGGTGGGAGGTCCCTTCCCATTACAGCCGCCGCCGCCTCCTTAACACGCCATTCCTCTCGTCGCCTCCACGGTCGCAGCGCTGAACTATCAATCCCACGCCAGATTGTCAAAGAGATACGATTAATAGTGCGTGCATGAAATGCAGAGGTTATTGTGTCGCTGCACACCTAGTCAAGCATTTGGGTCTTGAGACGGTGATGCTTCCGCAGGGTCAGGCGCCGGGGACCGACGGCATTTCAAGCCGGTGCAGACAAAGCGCCCGCGATGCCCCGATCGCTTGCCTTTCATCACGGACACTTTACCGCGATCGACGCGGAAACGCTCAGATTGAAGGTCCCCAATAAAGGCGGCACGACGAGCCCCAGTAATCCGCGCTTTAAGATCGGTTAGGATAATATCTCGCCGTGGTAAAATCCCCTCGCCGGCGCGGTAAAGTTTTAATAAGGCACTAAATGCGCTTCTTAAAACGAAAAGCATGCACTTCAAAAGCAGGGGATAGTTGCGACAGGGATGCGTAACACGTGAAGACAATAGCCACCCTGAAGTGTCCCATTGTCAGTCTGGTGCGATGCTTCCTATACTGCCCCCCCGTTTGTTTTCATACCCTGTAACACTTGATAGCAGCTAATTACACATTTACTTGCTGAAAAAGCCACACTTTCTCAAAACAAAACTGCCCTTTCCAGAACAGATGATATAAAGACTGCAACGTATTTTCAAAACACCGATCTTAAAGCAGCGTGTGTCTGGATACACACACGAGTACATGCGCGTCTTCTGGCTTTTTGTAGTATGATCAACTGAGACTTCAGACCGCAGCAAGCTGACGATTTATACTGACGGAAATACTGTTTGACAAACATTACCAAAAAATGCATCCTCATCAAAAGAGCTGGTGAGACTTAAAGCCAGTAACACTAACTTTAATATGAAAACCATGTCAGTAAATACATAAACCCGTAAATATAGCGGATGCTGCACAACAATGAAACGATATCAAACAATGGTTTTCCTTACCAAACTATAACAACCACAAAAATGTCTCTTTTTTCTGCAAAAGAAACACTCAAATGTATATAGAACAGGAGGCACTCTTTGTATAAATGACACATCTTCAGTAGACATTAACTAAATAAAAATCAACATACACCTCAGGATTAAAGTTTCTGGTATTTTGATTACCTAAATTATGAACACAGATCGGCAACAGTTTACACCCCCCCCCCCACTCCCTCGTCAAGATAATCCCATACTAGAGCAAAAATACTTTTACAAATATGTTGTTCAAAACTGTGAAAAAACTGCCATCTGTCATGCACCAAATGGCAAACCTAAAGAATCTCTCAACTTTTTTTTTTCTTTTTAGGTCGGGAGGGGTGTGGGACACAGGGGTCGAGAAGGTGGTCTTACGCCGTCCTTACCGCGATCAGCGTGCTATTTCTCTGTTCTGTTGTGCTTGCCGACTCAGGGTCTTGCTGTTTGTTTTGCTGCTTATTATGAGCGGATTTCTTAACCCTCTGCTCCAGGCTCCTCTGGTACAGGCTGACCGTCTCCCTGCGTTCAATCTCCAGCTGTTCAGCGTGTGCTTGCTGGTACCTGGTCTCACAGTTGACATGGTGCCTCCGACAGCCCTCGATCCTCTGCCTTAACCTCTCCACCACGGTACTATGCTTAGGCATCACATTATTACCGCTGCCTCCAGCTCCGATGCCACCGTTTATGTTATTGTTATTAATGCAAATACTACTGCCGTTCGCAGTAGCGGGGGTGGCAAAATCCCCCATCATATAGTCTGTGCACAGTATTTTGGAAGAACTTTCTCAAGCCTCCTTCAGCAAAAGTAATTCCAGGGGGAAGAAATAGGGGATTCAAAAGAGTGCAAACGAGCGGCGGCCGCTTCCCCTCATCGGGAAAAATGTGTCATTCAATCATTCAGTACCATTAAAACAATACTCTGGTCGGTCTGCAAAACAGACAACAATAGCGGAGCGCAACTGACCAAACTCAGCGGTCGGTGCTTCACTCGCTCCCACCGGCACCGGATCGCTGCATTTAACTCGGCAGAAGATCCCGATGTTACAGGCGATCATCACACATCGCGGACAATGTTTCAAGCACGCAGCTTTATCGTGCTGTCCTTTAGGAAAAAGTTTTGTTGTTCGCAGCGCAGGGGCTCCGGAGTAGTTTCGCGAACTCGCATCTCATTCACATTTTCCCGTGAAAATCCCCCGAGCGCCAACAAGTCCGTCCAAAAGCCCGGAGGTGAAACGCGCAAAAGCCAGATCCCGAAAGACGCCGATCCGCGGGGTCGCTCGCAGCTGCCTGCCACCATCACAATGATCAAGTGCTCTCCTCCTCCTCCATGCCAGCGGAGTGATATCAGGACAAGGGCTGAGTAAAAAGCAGCTAGAGGCTGTGAGCAGCCTCGGCAATCGCACGCAAAACGCGGAGCGGAGCCGCCGAGCGCCCGGACGTGGACGCGCCTGTGACCGCTTGCGCATTCACGAAGGGAAGTGCGCGCATACTTGACACAAAAAGTCGGATACGGCTGTATTTCTGCCATTAACATCTAGATATTCAGGCTCAACACATAATCTGTGTTTATTTATATATATAAATATATATTATATATTTATAATATTATATATATCGCTCGTTTATTCAGCTGGATTGTTTTTGTGTATTTCATGTTACATTCCCATTAGATTTCAGCACCCATATTTTAATCCATTTCCAAACACCAAACAGGACGCCAGTTTCATAGAGTTTTTCTTTTAGCAATAGCAGTCGTTTTGTGTTTGATTTAGCACAGACTTGAGTTTCGGGAATGTTGTTGGAAGTTTTTTTTTCACTCAAACAGCAATAATCTGACCTTCATCGCGTTCTCGGGTTGTTTTTAAGGGTTTTCACAGCGTGCAGGGTGGCGAGTCAGAATCAGGGCTTGCTGTTTAGCGAGTACGTGACTCCAGCGCCTGAAAGAGGCTGTCAGCCGGGAGCACTGTAAAGCGGGGGGGGGGGAGCGTTAGGACGATTCCAAGGGCCCCCGAGTGACTGCAGCTCTAAAAATTTGGAACATAATCCGAGTGATCTGGGTTGGGGGCCCAAAATCTTTAACGGCACCGCTGAAGGCAGCTGCACGTAGACTCACTTCTGAGTGCAGGAATAGCACTCCTACTGAGATGATAGGTGACCATTCCTAATTGGCATTTTCCCTTCTCCTTTAATAACCACCCTTCTGATCTCCCTACTTGCCATATTCCCATGACACCTCGGAGCGATGACTCTGCTGCCAGGTAACCAATAAGCACTTATCTGGGTTGTCCTCCTCTTCACTTTATAGAGTCTGAATCCATGAGGAACTAGCTGGCGTATGTTGATCAGTATGCACCCCAGTGCTCTGCAAAAGCACAATAAACATACATCTGAATCTTTTTTCCCTCCTCCTATGTTTACATTTAATGTATTAATTTAGTCGATGTTTATATTCTGAGCGATATGCGGTTTTTGAGAAAGCAGGGTCTCTGGGGGATTTTAGGGGTTAAGGGCCTTATTCACAGCCACCCCCCAGCCACCGCCATCCACCCCCCAGGACTTCTAAGTGGGATGATGATATTCCTCCGGGCCAGACATCTGTGTAGAGGGTGTTGTGTGGCTTGCTGGGTTAACTTGCTGTGCCTGTGATCGGAAGGTTGCTGGTTTGAATCCCGTGCTCAGCAGAGTTTCCACATGCCCGTTTGGTCCTTGAAGGTCCTGAAATACTCCAGGTGTGACAGATGGATACCTGAACCTGCACCTAGACCAGGGTTTGCTAAATCCAGTCCTGGATGCTGCAATCCAACACAGTTTGTAGAGTTCCCTGTTCAAACACACCTACTAAACCAGCGGTGGCAATCTTAGCCACAAAGGGCCGGTGTGTGTGCAGGTTTTTGGGATAGCCTTTAGGTCAGCTGATCAAACCCAGGTGCGACGACTCTTCAGCCAATCAGTCCTCTGATTAGTAATCTAATTAGCGAGTTGCAGCAAAAACCTGCACACACAGCGGCCCTTTCTGGATAAGACTGGCCACCCCTGAACTAAACCTGACAGTCTGCAAACTATCCCAGATTCTGTCCCTCTAGGATCAGATTTTGGGATCCCTGACCTAAAACCTAAGCTTCACTGTCACCTGTGTCACCATATGTGTGTTTGTGCCTTAAAATGGACAAAAGGGTGGCTTATATGGAAAAAATGCACTTGTATAAATGTCAACTAAAGCTTTATTTCAGTTATGAAGGCAATAATACATACGTTAGACACATCACAAGCCTGGCGCATTCAAACTTACACTGTCCCTTTATTTAACCAAGTCGAGCCATTTGATTGGTGTAAAGGCTGTGAACTATCACCCCAGAAGCCTGATCACTAGACAACCCAGACGAACCTCTCATTACCGGGCTCAGCCTTTTGGTAACTAGTTCTGTACAGACAGAAGCTAACAGAGTACCTTAGGGTACAACAGCAACTCACATTACTTTAGTAAACACCTGTCCATCCATCTTCCAACTGTTTATCCTGGTCGGGGTCGAGTGAATGAATGAATGACAGTTACATTTATATGGCACTTTTCAAGACGCCCCAAAGCTAATTTACAGAACCAATGGGGAGCCACTTCAACCACCCCCACTGTGTAGCCCCCACCTGGATGATGCGACGGCAGCCATTCTGCACCAGTACGCTCACCTCACAGTAGCTAAGGTGGTGAAGGGGGAGGAGAGGATTCACCAGTCAGATATAGGGGATGATTAGGAGGCCACAGTGGGTGGGGTGCCGTTTATCTCAGGCAGCGCAGGGAACACACTGGATTGGATGTCAATCATATCAAATAATATGACTAAAAATGATAAGAAACAGTGGCGTGGTGAGACCTGGGAGTATTCCACAAAGCAGGATTTCCCACATAGCTGGATAACTTAAGCCTACTGTGAAAACTGTCCAATAGGAGGAGATGTACTACTGGACAATGCTTAAATCTAACAAATGAAGAAATCCAGCTTTTTTTTTTATATCCCCTCCCTGCTACGCCCGAATTCATCTAAAACAAATGCACTTGTTCTCCTTGGTCCTCTGAAGTGTTTCTGTCCATTAAAAGAGGGGGGGTGATGGAGTTTGATTAGCTCAATCCGGGGTAGGGTTGCCTCGGCAAGGCAGTTCACCCAAACGGTCATTGATCAGTTCCGGACGTCGAGCTATACCATGATACAGCAGCTACTGACAGCTCCTCCTGCAGCTCTTCAGTGTTTTTAGCTCACATGAAATAGTTAAAATAAAAATAAAGAAAAGTCAGTCTTGGGCTTTATTGTCATGTCATCCATATTCAGCCACACAGTGGCACGGAACATTCCTTCAGGACCACGGTGGGACATACCAACTGTAAGTGGCGGGGGCAGGGATTAAAGTGCAAAACAAGGGGGCTGTACACTGTCACAAAAAAGTGTACCAATTTGTACCTTTGCTTGTCTCTAGGGTTGACTAGCTAAAGATACAATTGGGAGACCCTTGAGCGTACACCCCTAGGGACAAGCAAAGGTACAAATTGGTACACTTTTTTTCTGACGGTGTACACACAGGTTTATATACATATTGCATTGTTACACTCAGAAAAAAGGGTAAAAATGTGTATCTTTGCTTGTCACTGGGGCTGTACCCTCAAGGGTCTGCCAATTGTACCCATAACTGTATGTAATTGTACCTTTTAAGGTACAGAAATGAACTCGGAGGAACATTTCTGTACTATTGATGGTACATTAATGCTGTTTGTACCTTTGGGATGTTCTTAAAAGGTACAGCAAAGTGACAAGCAAAGATACACATTTTTACCCTTTTTTCTGACAGTGTATGATAGTAATTATTTTAATAGATTCCTTTGCAGTTTTATCTGCTGAATGTATGTATTTATAAATGTATGCTACTACAGAAATTCAGATTAGGATGTGTTGTAGGGTTGGGGTCTTGAACCAGCAGCTAGGTTAACTACACGCTGATCCGTGAGCAGCCCGGTCTGACCGTTAGGCGTGTTCTCCATGTGACTCGCAGGTGGGAGGTAGATCCGGACGACGTGGGATCGCAGAGTCATCCTGCAGTTGCAGAAACCTTCATGAGAAAGGCCCCCTTTCTCCTCGTATGACTTCAGCCGTGACAGCGGTTAGCGCCGGGCCTCTAGCAGAGTCACCTCCAGCGATGCCCGGCGCCCTCAGCAAAGACATGAAGAACTAACCAACACCAACAGCCCACACGTCAAGCACGGGCAAGTCCTTGCAGGGGAATATGACTGCACCGTGTGCCTAAGTGCAAGTCACGCTTAGGCGAGCCATGATATAAGAGTTAATGCGGGTGCTGCATATTGCGGCACTGCGGAGGGTGATTAATCAGCCATGCTGCATAACGAAACCAGAAAAACACCTGAGAAAACCAGCCTGCCAGCTACCATGTGACGGCTCCCTGAATCCGAGTGAAACATACATCCACACACATTCACTCAGTATGATAAAACAAGGCTGGCCTAGCAAGACCAAAATGCAGTGACATAAACACATGCCATCTGTCCAGTGTATGCTTTCATAAATCACGATGGGTCTTTAAAATGGTCTTTGTATTGACATTGACACTTAGCCTAAAGTGTGTGTATAAGGTTAGGGAGTGTGTGTAATGTGTGTATAAGGTCAGGGAGCGTGTGTAGTGTGTGTATAAGGTCAGGGAGCGTGTGTAGTGTGTGTATAAGGTTAGGCAGAGTGTGTAGTGTGTGTATAAGGTTAGGGAGCGTGTATAATGTGTTTATAAGGTTATGGAGCGTGTAAAATGTGCGTATAAGGTTAGGGAGCGTGTATAATGTGTGTATAAGGTTATGGAGCGTGTGAAATGTGCGTATAAGGTTAGGGAGCGTGTGAAATGTGCGTATAAGGTTAGGGAGTATGTGTACTGTGTATATAAGTTTAGGGAGCGTGTGTATTGTGTATAAGGTTAGGGACCGTGTGTAGTGTGTGTATAAGGTTAGGGAGTGTGTATAAGGTTAGGGAGCGTGTGTAGTGTATATAAGGTTAGGGAGCGTGTGTAGTGTGTGTATAAGGGTAGGGAGTGTGTATAAGGTTAGGGAGCGTGTGTAGTGTATATAAGGTTAGAGAGCATGTGTAGTGTGTGTATAAGGTTAGGGAGCGTGTGTAGTGTATATAAGGTTAGGGAGCGTGTGTACTGTGTGTATAAGGTTAGAGAGCGTGTGTAGTGTGTGTATAAGATTAGGGAGTGTGTGTATTGTGTGTATAAGGTTAGGGAGCATGTGTAGCGTGTGTATAAGGTTAGGAAGCGTGTGTAGTGTGTGTATGAGGTTAGGGAGCGTGTGTAGCGTGTGTATAAGGTTAGGGAGCGTGTGTAGTGTGTGT